AAGAGGAATACCGAAGTCCGAGTCAATGGTGCTTAATAATATTATTATACAATGATCACTCATACATCATGTACATTGACAACAAAATTATTTTCATTTACCTGTGTATATTTTTGTATTTGGCTGCTTTTAGTTCAAAGTTATCGTTGTTTCTTGAAATTGTTTAATATCTCACAGCGGTATACTACTGTTACCTTTATTTTTTCACCCCTTATTTTATTGATTTTGTATTTACATTGTATCACAGATCAAATTTATTCGTTCAGTGTATATTCACTTGTGTTAATAAGTTTTTTGATTGAGTTAAGCCATTTCAATAGTGCTTCTTTCTATGTTGTGATCTTACACGATTGTTTCGTAATAAGGGTGAAGGTTGGTACCCATTAAAACGTTTAAACCCGCTGCATATGTTTGCACCTGTTATAAGTCAGGCATCTGATGTTCAGAAGTTGTCGTTTGTTGATGTGGTTCATAAGTGTTTCTCGTTTTTCGTTTTCTATATAGATTAGACCGTTGGTTTTCCCGTTTGGATGGTTTTACACTAGTAATTTTTTAGGCCCTTTATAGCCAAGGCTCCGTGTTGAAGACCGTACGTTGACCTATAAGGGTTAACTTTTACAAATTGTGACTTGGATGGAGAGTTGTCTCATTGGCACTCATACCACATCTTCTTATATCTATTGACCTCGAGCTCGTATTTAGTTTTTATTTTAAGGTATATAACCCTCAAAATGCATGTGTAATACTTCAAGGAAGTACAAACGATTAATTTAGTATCATCAATTACATTTGCTAAACATCCCGACAGGAAATAATGTTAAAAATAAAACTATTGTTTTATTCATCAGGAAACTTAATTTCTGAAAAGTCAATTAAAAATTATTATAATGAGTACAAATGCATTTGCACTGTAAAAAAATGGACAAAATTTTCTTTCTTCTTGACAATTCATAAGCCAACCTAAATCGTTTGTTATTTGTTGTAGTGATATACACATACGTCATCAAGATATCTGTCTGTATACATTTTGATATTTGTGTAATAAACAAGTTTATTATTTTTGATAAAAGGATATATTCAATAATAGAATTTAAATAAATTGAAATTAAATGCGTTTATTGAATTATTTAGCAAATAATTGTACTGACAGGCTTATCAAATCGAGTCGTCCTTTATTGCTATTGTTATGTTAGTTCGAGCAAGTGAGTGTTAACCGTAAAACTGGCACTAAGATAGTTCACATTTACATTTAAAACCAAGCTGAGAAGACGTTGAAAAATTTAGACCCACCCTCTTCGACCCATGTAAATTGAGCTTTGTTTGCTGCTGTTATTATTTATTTTTCAGATGCTCCAGTCTTCATACATCTATCCGTCATGATAACATAATGGAATACTTATATACACAACAGGAGCGTTATTTACTGGATTTTATGCAGACTATGGATATCCCAGCTGCTACTTGTGAAATATTGCTGACTGGACCGCCCTTCAGTTCACCCGCTTTGGATCGCCGAGATGTTACACAATGATTAGTTCAATCGTCATCAAGATTATATTTTGACTGACAAATAATTTTGTTGCTTACTGTTGTTTTAACAATTGTTGTTGTTGCTTACTGTTGTTGTAACAGTTGTTGTTGTTGTTGTTTGAATGAATTTTGATTAAATGTTGCCATGACAATTCATAAGCCAACCTAAATCAGCGTTTGTTATTTAATTTGTTGTAGTGATATACACATACGTCATCAATGATATCTGTTTGTATATATTTTGATGTTTGGGTTATAAGCAACAAGTTTATTATTTTTGATAAAAAGGATATATCCAATAACAAGAACTAAGGTATAGTTGGTTGATGGAAGGACATATACTAACTGCCCTGGACAGAAATTGTTTGCTGTGCATGTACGTATACAAGAATTTTTTTCAATAAGCAGTCTGACAACCTCAACGAGTAATTGTGAATGTCCTTTAACGTGCAGAGAGAGTGACAAACATGATTGAAACACCGAACAAGCTTCAATAGAAGTAAAATCAATTAATACAATTTTCAATTCCTACATTAATTTTTATCAAATTGAGGCGATGGTAGTTTACCGATGTTCAAATCACGTCCGTCAATTGAAAAGCAACAAATCAAAGTAATTAACAAAAACTTAATGAATTGCATGAACTTCAAAAGGAGCGAGAACGGATTGGTCGGCGGTTAGGTGTCTTCTGCTATCTATGCGTCACTCGCCATGCGTATTTACAATCAGTCAAAATGTCACAATCAAGAATGGGACACAATCGGTAAAATATAAAATATCATTCCATTGCTTTCTGGCAAAATACCTCATTCGACAAGTTAATGATAAAACAAAGTGACATAACATTTAAAAAAAGTGACAAGCGACAACTTTCAGTCTGAATTTACTACTGTAGCTATAAATTGTATAATGTACATTAAGTTATGCATGAGATAGGTATATCCCTGGGATGTGTTTTAGTTGATTTTAGTTTCTGATGCATGAATTTTTATTTTTAATTGTTTTGGCTTTTAACTAGCTGTCAGTAACTGCGAGTACTCTCAAATCGTACTTTCTTGTTTTTTTGACCAGTTGATACTAATTGTTATGCTTTTTTGTTATTTAATGTTATTCAGTGTTATATCTGGTCTATATACCAGCTTTGATAAGTGTTTGGTACTACTTTAAATTTTCGCTTCGCACTATGAACATCAAAATTATTTATTTTGAAAAAATATTTCCTTTCTCTATTGGAATTGTACACGTATACCTAACAACAAAATTATTTTCATTTACCTGTGTTAAAAGTTTTTGCAAATGGCTGATGTTTTTGTTCGAGCATATAGTTTTTCTTAAATTGTTTAACATTTCATACCGATATAACATTTTACCTTTATTATTATTCCCTTAGTTTATTTATTTTGTATTTACATTGTATCATAGGTCAAATTTATTTGTTCAGTGTGTGTTCACTCGTGTTATATGTCCTTTGATTGAGTTAAGCTATTTCAGTTGATATTTTATAGTGTGTCTTTCTATGTTGTGATGTTACACTATTGTTTCAGAAAAAGGGTGAAGGTTTGGTACCATTAACACGTTTAAACCCGCTGCATTTGTTTGCACCTGTCCTAAGTCAGGAATCTGATGTTCAGTAGTTGTCGTTTGTTGATGTGGTTCATAAGTGTTTCTCGTTTCTCGTTTTTTATATAGATTAGACCGTTGGTTTTCCCGTTTGAATGGTTTTATACTAGTAATTTTTGGGGCCCATTATAGCTTACTGTTCGGTGTGAGCCGGGGTTCCGTGTTGAAGACCGTACGTTGACCTATAAGGGTTAACTTTTACAAATTGTGACTTGGATGGAGAGTTGTCTCATTGGCACTCATGCCACATCTTCTTATATCTATTGACCTCGAGCTCGTATTTAGTTTTTATTCTAAGGTATATAACCCTCAAATTGCATGTGTAATACTTCAAGGAAGTACAAACGATTAATTTAGTATCATCAATTACATTTGCTAAACATCATGACAGGAAATAATGTTAAAAATAAAACAATTGTTTTATTCCTCAGGAAACTTTATTTCTGAAAAGTCAATTAAAAATTAATATAATGAGTACAAATGCATTTGCACTGTAAAAAAATGGACAAAATCTTCTTTTTATTGATGATTGATGCATTGCTGACATGTAAGTACAGTTCACATCTAACATTGTATTTGATTCGTATACTAAATTACGTAAAGAAAAAACTAGCATTACGTGATACCAAAGATGGGAGGATAAAACACACATATGCATATTGTATACAATACATAAAAAATGCATTAGACCATATATATATATATATATATATATGTATACATATGTAGATATAGTAAGTTTTTGATCATTTCCTTTTAATTAAATTACAAAAGAAGGTAATACATTTATCTGGTCTTTCACATCAAACATTACATCACTATTAGTGCAAAAGAACAAAGATAATCACAAACACAAGAGCACCAAATACTTCATTGAATACTGATCATAAAGCACCAACACTACAACGGGACTCTTTGCATGTTCGAGAAATGAAAACAATTCAAGCACCACAAAAGAGCTCGCTGGTGCTGCTATTGGCTGGCAAGTGAAACACCACTACAAGTCATATCCAGTAATGTCGCAATATAGGACGATAGGACAGGAAAGTGCCTTGGACAAGGTAAAATATATGTGGGTATCTGTTCTCTAATTATAATGCACTTTCGCAGATGATTTCAAAATTATCAATAGAAACTCTTTGTTCGTTCAATTGGATTATATTTTACAGTAGCAGCCTTCTATTAAGGTAGCTATGATAGCCATGATATGAAATGCAAGTCCGCTATATTGCACCAACTTGGAGAAATATGTACCCAATATGCAAGAACGGATGGTATATGGTTTGTCATACATTTTACTTCCTATCCGACCATCATTGTCTATATAAGCAATTGATGTATTTTTTATTGCTTTTGTCTGGTGTTGGTATATATAAATGCATGTAGATGAATGAGCTGTTTCGTAAGGCAAATCTCTTTACGCAATTATTTAACTTATTTGTGATTGAGTAATATCTCCTTAGATAGGCTGCTAACGTATTAAACCAAGTGTAACTGATTTTTACAGTTTGTTCTGATGTTGTACTGTTACAGCAATGTCCTGAATTAGGTTTGATGGGGTGGAGGTTTAGTGCTCACACACATACTTGTCTTTTGTAATAGTTTTGTTATAAATTAGACCTTCAGTGTTCTCATTTTTCATTTCGGGTACTTTTATAAACATAAGTAAAATCACAGAAATACTGAACTCCAATGAAAATTCAAAACGGAAAGTCCGTAATCAAATGGCAAAATCAAACGCTCAAACACATCAAAATAATGGATAACAACTGTCATATTCCTGACTTGGTACAGGCATTTTGTAATGTAGAAAATTGTGGATATTATACATAGCTCTCACTTGTATAACAGTCGCATCAAATTCCATTATAATGACAACGATTTGTGAACAAAACTAACAGACATAATAGGTAAAAATAACCGACAATACGGTATGGACTGATCTGAATGTGGAAGGTCGTACGGTTGTCTATAATTACTTACATCTACCTCATTTGAACTGGGGCGAACACTTAACTCATTAAGACGATGTAGATTTCGTCAATGGCAACGGGTATATTTGATTCCTTTAACAATACACACAATACTCACACTTTTTATCTGAAAATCTTCTTTTGTCAAGTTTTAATACATTCTGAATCGTACCAAATGTTTTAAAAAGTGCAATAACAAAATGTTTGCTGGATGATAAATCTTGAATTAGGAATAACTCATCTTTAATGCAATGAAAGCAAACAATTCAAAACTCATGTAGAGGACGACAATAGGAAAATGGACACTGAATTCTATATTGAGCGTACAGCAACAACGGTTGTTCTTAATTATCATTTCCAATTAATTTATTAGCATTTATCAGTAGGTTTTCTTCGTTTGTAGGTTCCACAGCACAAAGTTTTGTTAAACTGTCAGGAAATCAGCATGTAAAGCGTTTTGGTAATGTAAGACTAAACTGTTCATCAAACAACACACCTATTGCAAATACAGCAAGCATTCAAATAGACGGAAAATCGTATACTACAATTACATTGAAAGGTGACGACTGTTTTTCTAGCATTTTAGGAAAAAAATGCACTCCTGATGTATGTGAATGCTCAAACCGAGGTTTATGGTACAGTCATACATACAAAATAGTTCAACATGTTGGTGTGGTTAACTTTATATGTTTGATGACATTTAAAGCAAATGGTCTCTTGTCAGATAGCATTAGCGTGAAAATAATCGGTAAGCAGAAGTGTGTTATCTGTCAGATAAGAGTAGGTGCAAAAAAGTATAAAAGTTATGAATAAAAGGCTATCTGAATGAAAAGATATAACATTCAAAGATGCATATAGCAAAACCAAACATCTGTCCTCTAAAAGCATAGTGTCATTTTATTGCTTTATATAAACTTCTCAGTATATGAATATATAATGATTCCTATACAAGCGATTAATGTAGTTGTTCAGTATTGATCAAAACCTTTCGGAATTTTTGGTCCCCAACGTTCTTCAACTCCGTAATAGGCTTTTTAACTGACGAGTGTTTGTAGATGAAAATCGCGTCTGCTGTATAAAATTTTAATCCTGGAATCTATGATGAGTTTTTTATGACATTAATACCGGTATAGAGTTTTTTTCTGTATATTTTATGGATAAAATAGTTAGTAGGGGGATGAACTTACATGTTAAAAGAATTTAGGCATGCATTTTTAGGTAAAGTAGTGATTTTGTACAGTTTTAAAAGGTCACAAAATAGTATGTCTGAACCTTTCAGACTGAATTATAGACCCCCTTCCACATCGATAGATTATATTTTTGATATAATATGTCTCAAAAGACGTTCACTTCACTGTAAAAAAATTTTTTTGATAAAGCAGGTGGATTTGTTTTTAATTTGCGTTTTTTTGTCTTAACGAAATGCACTAAGAACTAACTGTGTTTTCAGATCATTTTTTCTTTTAATTTACTCCTACTTTATCTTGTATGCACTTTTACTGATACTTGTATCACATTACTCGACCTTCGGCAATTATCTCTGTAAAAAATTAACTGGATCATGTGGATATCAAGTAAAATCACCTGGTTCATAAATATACATGCATGCAGTTAGTTTTACAAATCATTGATTCGATTCGATTTATTTTATGAATACATAAAGTAATACGATTGCAGAATATGTACAGTATTTTCTGTTATTGTTTTTGGTTATGCTTTTGATCAATGATCCCAACTTTTTGAAGAACCGTTGTAAAAGTTATCATATTCCACCTGTTATCGGCTGTTTTGGAAAAAAAATCAATTTCAGCCAATTCTTTTAAATGGTGAGTGACTGAATCGATTTTGCTCTTTATCAATGTTTTGAACGTACTACCATATTATTCATGTTATTAGTTGAAAAACAACCAAGACGAAGTTGTTTGTTTTCAGTAAAATAAGCATGTCATTTTAATTTACGTCAATGAATATGTTCTGGCCCATATGGGTATTTGAACCATACGCGTATAGCCTTGACCATATGCGTATTTGCTCACATGGTTTGACTAACCGCGTATGTTCCGGGTAATTAACACAATGAATTGAAACCTTTAATCTTTATTGCCATTTATCTTATAAAAAAAGATAACCGTTCGATTTGTCACCAAAAAACAGATGATGAAATAAGATTTATAAATGTAACGACAAATAACACATTGCATTTAACTAATAAGCTAAACAGTAAACATATCTAGACATGGTCGTAATAGAATTATTTTTAGGAATGGTAATCTGTCAACCTTTATATATGATAATGAACTTTAACAAGTTGTCAACAGTTTCGATAACGAACGAAAAAGTCAACAAGATCAAACACTTTAAATTGATGCAAGAGAAGGCAATAAATAAGCAGTTGCAGTGAAATATTTTGAGAATCATCTGTGTCCAAAACGTGTTTGTTTTGTTTCTATCTTACTTTTGTCGCATCTTACTATATACCCTTTTAAATTGTGTTTTTAGTTTCCTGGACATACTTGTCTGGTTCCTTACTTACTGAACAAAAAGCAACGTAAGGTTGATAAATCAGAATAGATCATTGCTTAACGTTTTACATGCAAATACGAAGAAAACTTATATGGACGAAATACCATAATAGTCCGGTCCATTTATAACCAAACAAGTTTATGTGAATATGGTTATACGAATATACACATATTGTCATGACCGTACGTGTCTAGTCTAAATAATCTGACAGTCCAGAACATATACATTATAAAATCTTTTACATACACCACGTATTGTAAAATTTTTTCATCATTTTTGAATATTAGATAACTAGCTTTTCATGTTGTTTCTAAGAATTCAATATAATCCTTGGCATCTTTGTATAACAGAACATTTTTGGAGCATAAGTGTCGGTAAATGATTGCTGGAACTATTGTGACCAACAAATTAACAAAAAACCGTTTTTTGACATCACTAAAATGTAAAATATCTGTCGTGATTCGCTCTGAGGACCTGTTTGCTCAAGGAAGGTCTACATTAAATGAAAAAAAAAACCGGTATGCTCTAAACCATACCTGTGGACTTATTTTTGTTATTCGTCTTAGGATGGTCAAGGTCAAACATGTGGGTTGCGTTTTGACATGTCATTGTTTTTTTTTTAATCAAACTTTGCTATTTGCTATTTATAAGGACAACAGGTTTATCAATCCAAAAGGGGGAGTTAAACAGAATGCAAATATGACTGAAATAATGCCAATCATAAATTGATTTTGGTAACTATTGGGACTTTGTATTTTTCAAGGAGATGTCTTGACTAATGTGTTGAACCTTACTATTACACTGTGTATAGCTATTTCACTATATCAAACTATTGATATATATGGTGAATGTTTAGCAGACATTACCATAAGGGCTTCAAATAAAATGCATAAAACGCACAGCTCTGGGACACAATTTCAACATCATAATGTGCGTAACGTGTAATGACTTTATGTGTAATGATTTTTTTTTTATTCAGTCTTTTTATGGAAAACTTTTTATCACAATTGGCATCAACATGATCAATTGAGTGCATTGTTAATGATAAGCTTTTTTTTGTAAAATGATCAGATCTACTTAGGACATTTTAGGCGATGGTACTGTTCGTAAACTTTTCGAAACACTACTGATAACATGAAGCAGTCAATAAAACTACAAAAGTTAAGAACATTAAATGTGTATTTATTTCAGTAGAAATATAACTTCAAACTTTCGGGTGGAAATTATTCAAGTTCCAAATTTGTTAAACAACGATAGACTGACAGGTTATGGTATACATTTAAAATAAATAAACAAGATATTTAGTATTGACGTTGCACTCACTTAATTTGTGAACCTATGGATTACTAAGAAAGGTGACTTTACTTTTGGCATATTAAGGATGGGTATGCTTTTATGGGACCTATGCAAGGGATTCATTTGGAAAAGTCGTGCTTAGACACTGACCTGTCATTATTGCAGATTCTAATGCAAAATCGTTTGTAACGTTCATTTTGATTGGATAACGTCACTAATTTGCATGGCAATTGATGCTATGAAAACGTACACGCAAGTGCTGACGACGTATGACAGATTTTAAATGTATGTTTTGACGTTGTTTTCTATCAGTATCATTAGAATGGAGATAACAATATTGTTTTGTTTAGCTCCGACGGCATCAATTGGTGATTTGACGGTTTGAAATTACCGTTTACGGGCTCCGCAAATGCGTTTCCAGGGAACTTAATTTGCGACCATCAAATTATCAATTGATGCCGTCGGAGCTTAAAACACAACACAGTTCTCTCCTAACCGTATGTCATACACTTATCCATGAATTACCCTTAACCCGAAAATTTACCTTTATCCATTACCCTTAACCAGGAAACAAAACTTTTCTAAAATATTTTTCAACAAAGCAAAATGATTTATAGTAGGTCTTTTGATATGATTTATAGTTAAGTAATAAATATTTGCGTATGAGTAGAACTATGATAATTGGAATAAAATGCACAAATATTGAATTAATCCTTATTTGTAAAGGGTTAAATGATATTAAATGTAAAGGGAGACAACTGCAACGTATTACTCTTAAACGATATTGTTTGCAGATGTCAATCTTAATTACAATGCTTAGGCAAACGTTAAGACAAACAAAGCAAGCAAGCCAACCAAAGTCTTAATCTACAAGCTTTAGGAAATGAGCTCTAACTCATATTAACATGGCTATTGTCATCACTCGGCTTGTGAGCGTCGCCGTCATCGTACACTTTTTCGATAACAATAAAAGATGGGTCGGAACAAATGATCATCAATGTAAAATATATTTTTGACATGTGAGCTATTCATGCTCTTATGAGACACTAGTGAATTTTAGATACCTTGCAATGTTAGTTTGATGAAGAAAAAATCTTACTCGAAACATGCAGGGAAAATAATTTCTCTCGGAAATACAAAATAACAGACTAAATAGCTGCTTCTGAATATAATGTAATGTTCTACTCTATTTCAATACTCTGGAAATAAGAGTGAGTACTCATTTGACGGAAATTTGACCAACAGCTGGTTGTTTTTTCAAAACTATAAAAAATGCAATTCCTCCGCCCCTGCCAAACTCTCAGACCCAAAGAGACGACTCACTATATAGAGATACTCTAAAACTTATTAAATAGTATACAGCTTTATCTGACAAATTAAGACTGTATTAATAGAAAACGTTTGAATATTCATTCTCTGTGGATACTACTCTCAAATCATTTTATTAATTTTATTAATTAAGAAACACTAACTCATATAATGATAGGACTATGCTAAACTTATTTAGATTATATCTTCTTCATCTAAATTGATCTCGCTGTAGTCTGCAATTTCTCATGTCAATATTCTTATCTCGGCAATATTTATTTAAAAAGTATGTTGCAGTGAAAAGAGGGTAGCTGCGATGCTTTCGATTGTGTTTTCTTTCTTTTCAAAAATAAACATTGATCTGAGGAGGGAGACTGCTAACATCATATATTTACACATATAGACATAAAATAATAACCATTTGAACCGACAGTCGTTTGGACAGGATATGTCCTATATACATGTACCTCCAAATTGTTTTCAAGACATGCAAAAATACAACACATTGAACAAAATATACAGCTATACAAGTCACAATAAGGGTCGATAACTCTATCGCTACAGATCGGCTGGTAAAAGGGTCGATAAGTTCTTACATCTAATCATTTAATTATGTGCACTTTATCTCTACTCTAGGTCAAATTTCGATAAAAATTTTGTTAAAGAAAGTTACCAAAAAACAAATAATATATTGTCCAAGAAGACCAAATGACATAGAAGTTATCAACTATAGGTCACCGTACGGCCTTCAATTATGAGCAAAACCCATACCACATAGTCAGCTATGAAAGGCCCCGAAATGGCAAATGTAAAACAATTCAAACGAGAAAACTAAAGGCCTGATTTATGTACAAAACAATGAACGAAAAACATATGTCATATACAGCTCCTTTATATAGGCTCCTGATTTGGGACAGGCATATACAGAATGTAAGCATGTTTAGAGTTTACCATTAATAGTCTGAAAAATGAAGCCTACAGTTTTCTTTTATATGCCGGTACTCTTATCCAGGAAATATGTTATGAAATTGAGCATTTGTTGCAGAGAAAGTGGATAGTAGACGTGGTGCTATCAGTTGTATCCCCTGTATTTTCAAAATGACACAGTATTGTTTCTTATATTCTGTGCAAATTGCTCAAAAATTCGTGATAAAGGATTATGCAATGCTTGATAAGTATTTTAATCCGTGATTACGATCAGTTGAATTCAACGTATATTTTAGGAGGTCCTAAATACATAACAAAAGATGTCTTTCTTTCAGTAATTATAGGAATGCTTAATAGCATACAGACAAAGAAAGACCTTTATCAAAAGTTATCGGTTCGATTCCGTTTTACCGGTATATAAAAGACAAAATTTAACGTACATTTGTACATATACAGGTTACGCCACCAACTTTCAGATGATCCGTACATATACGTCTGTCTTTCCACTTTTTTTTAATATCAGGAACAGGAATGTAATATATCCAACATGAAAAAAGTAGCTTTTAAAGTCAGTAAACGACTCGTTTCCGTTCTACCGTAATAAAGTTTGCTGATAATTTTGTAATTTACCATATAAACATGCAAACCATTCAGAAGCAAATTTTTGCTAATGTTGAATGACTCGCTATGACTTTGAGACTTAGAACAGCAATAAAAACACTCACCGTTATGATTTTATATCTCGAATTCATATTCAATATCCTTTCGATTTCATCATTAAAAACAATCAATTTTAGGATATAAACTGAGAAAAAAAAAGTTTAGCATCAAATAATTTTAATACCATATTCAAAAATTAATTATTCTTCTAAACATAACAATAAACAAACTATCGTAACCAAAAAAATCAGCCAAAAGACGGAATTTTTAATGAACAAAAATATTTATTGAAAATTTATTTCCGCAACTTTGTAAATTGTCATTTTAAAAGATTTTTTGATAAGATATATGTTGCTAAACTTTTTTTACTCGGTATATCTTGAAATAAAATAATGTATATACTTATACTATTCACTGGCATTATTGCTTAAAAGTCGTGGAAAATTAGTCGATGAATTGAATTGAAAATTTTATACAGATAAATAAGCATTACAAAGAATATTTCAAAAGTTTTATACGGCATGTCCGACGACTGTAAGTAATAGCATATAATTTATACAAATAAATCGTATAATTATGAACTTGACACCTGTTAGAACGTTTTGGAACGCAAAGGGTGTACATTTACATCTGATGACAACCTCTGTTCGAAACGCGGTGCTAGGTTATAAGGTCGTTAGTGGCTCTTCCTTCACCTTTACATAACAACAAAAGAAGGGGTTAAAAAATACTTGAATACTGTGAGTTTCTGCTGTATCAGTAATATTCATATTTGGTTTGGGATAATGTTCGTGTAGTTCATTTAAGATTTAAAATCACTGCCCCCAGACACGTTTTAATTCATCGAATGAAAGGTAGTATAGGATCACTTATGTTAGATTTGCTAATTAATTCGTCCTTTTTTTAGGTTATAAACGTATGCACAAAATATTCTCTTATCCACAAGTGATGTCTAGTGTATTGTCAATTCCGTATTTTTTTTATTTAATTTATTCGATATATATATTTTGAACAAAAGTACTTATTAACAAAATTATCAATCCCCAACCCATATTTACTTCGAAAATACCGCGAATGTGAGCTGGTTCCTATTTTACTTTTTTCTTAAGGATAACATATACAGGGGAGACATTATTTTAGATCTCGACAGATTATATTCTTATATCAGTATTAGTTCAATGAAAAGATAACAAAATTTTAAATATACATAAAAATGACAATTTATCAATATGATTTACCATCTCAAATAAAAGAACTGCTTATTGATATTTTTAGACATATCACTTCATAAAATTGAAATTTCCAGGATAAGAGTATTTCTTACGAGTAAATTATCGGTTTAAAGGTACTTCCCGGATAAGTGTATGACAAACGTATGCTCAAGAGCCAAAGAAAAAAAATAATTAAGGAAGAAGGGTGAAAATTGAAAACCCAAGTCAAAATTGTTTTATACTTTGTCAGACGAAAATAAATCCAGACCTCCCCAATGACGACAAAATGGAAGTAAATTGAGCAAATCGACTTCTATCTCATTTGTCCTCGTACTAAGATATTAACATCCCATATGACGTCATTGCATAACTTGTAAAATTGAACTTTTGTATAGCAATACTAGGATATGCATCATTTACTCATTACTAAAGTTACACGCTATTTTTTGTTAGACTTCACAGGTCCTTCAATTACTACAGAGCCTGGATTGCCATTTCCATCTGGCAGCAATGTTGCATTTACCTGCATGGTGGATACCTTGTCGACCAACATAACATTTGAATGGGATTGTCTTGGAAAAAGAGAACCCCAAAGCAGAAGTTTTTTTGGATCTAAATCAACAAAATATTCTTCTGTTATAACGCGCAATATACAGTTGATTCATGATGGCGAAACCTGCAGATGTTGTATAAATGTAGACGGAATAAGAGGAAATTCTGAAATTTCACTAGCAATCAGTAGTGAGTATATTGCCATCATCAAAACCGTTATTTGTACCTCGTTTTAATATAATGAAATCTGTTATTTATACTCAGCAATACATAATGATTATTATGAAAAACTTTTGGATGACCTAAGTGACCTTGGATATAGGTGACCTGCCATGATATTTCCGGGCTTATGGCGGTCAACGTCGTAATGAGAACACGTCGACGTAACGTCGCGTAACGTATTTGGGGCACCTGTTTTTGAATGTCCAATTATATTATGCGGTAAACTAAAGTTTCGTTTTTAATGACATGGGGAAATTTGAATTTTATATGTAGACATACAAAACAAGTGGATCTTCTACGAAAAATTAATGATTTAGGTTAAAACCCCGTTTAGTATCGCGTTCTTAATTTGCACAATTGATATTTTAGATTTCATTGCGTAAATCACTTTCTTTTGAATAATTAATATGATTTAGATTATACAAAATGGTTTAAATTATATCACCATTGCGAAATATTATTATAATTTTTTCCGAAACAGATTGCAGCATGAACACTAAGTTTTTGGAAGTAAATCGCATTATTTCACAGTGTATATACCGGTACATGTAAATAAAGCAAGATGTACCTGTCCATGAGGACCCCAATAGTGTCTCGTTCCATGATTATTCTTATTTTTTGTTGTTGTTATTTTTTAGTGATTGTATTAGAAGTACATAAACAAGTATGTGCTGTTGAAAGTTTTTTTTTTTTACATGCCTTTCACCTACATGCCCGACTATTATTGATCATGCTGTTTGACTTTTCATCTAACTCTGCATTAACAGATATTTGATTTGATCACTTTGTCAAGATACATGTACAATATATATTCACAATCAAAGAAGAGATGAACATTAAAAAACATATTAAATAATACACAGCTCCTTGATGGTTTATTATATATCTTGGTACTCTCTTTCTTGGCATTGATTTTCATTTTGATCCTGATACCTCCATAACCCTGAAAATCTTATGGCTGGTCACATATATGCTATCACTTATCAAATTGCAAATCTAAAATGTAAGGTAACAAGAAACTATTACACGCTTAATCATTTATATTACTTTAATAGCTTTTATTAGTAAACCATATTATTATAGAAGCAGTTTGTTACATAATGATCTGCACTGTCTTCAATGAGTTGATACGTCTGATTTTTTTTTTTGGAAAACGCTTTGGTTGTTTTAAATGATATTTCATTGGTGTTTCATTAATTGTCATCAATACGTTTTCTAGACATTGTTCATTTCAGAAAAAAAATATAACAAATATATGCGTCAGTATATCAAGTCATCGTCAATCAATAATTTGATGTCAGATATTTAGTCTACTCTCTTTTCTTAACACGTAGTGGTATTTTTCAAGTTATTTTCGTAGAATGGGAACAATGGCCACTCATTTAAGACCATTTACCGATCTACACTTTATATTGATATAACCTTATAATTAAAATGTTACAGAATATATTTAGAAGGCGAGCTCTATATTGTCTTTTGTAATATTAGTTTCAAGATCGATTACCACTAGTAAACTTATCTGCAATCATTACTTACAAAATAGAATAGTAATGATCATCTTAGTATTCTATTATATTGTAATAAAACGAGACAAAACATACAACAAAGTTCGTTTTTGACATTAAATTTGACAATTCTGAGATGAATAAAAGTGATAATTGTAAGTGAAGTATCCACTGTTCTTAATACTAAACAAATGATTTGTTGTAAAAATCAATTCTTGAAATCTGCTTTTTAAGGAAAACCAATCATAGACATTAGCAAGGCAGCAACATGTGAAAGCTACTCTACAATTACTTTGTACTGCGTTATCCATACCGGATTTCCTTTATTCGGATTTAACAATTGGATACATTCCAGACATGGCACACTTATTCGACATTTAGAAGGGGAAAAGATGCATACAATGTCAATTTTGAAATTTAATTCCTGCAGTCGTGATGATACCGGAGATTATACATGTGAAGCATATAATAGATATGAAGGCAACTTAACCTTTGCAAATAAAACTGTTTCGTTGATTGTATATGGTACGTACTGATAAACATATTTGGAAGTTTTTTGTCAAACAGTGATTTTGTCAAATGAAATTGTTCAAATTGTGTGACGACATTATATGTTTCAACTGCTATCGTACTAACAAAACCAAAAACATGACCAAGAAGAAGAAAAATCCGAAAACGCAAACACTATTCTTCAGAACACCTTACAGAAAACCAAAGTCTTACGAACACGAACTCTATCAAAAATTGCGGGTCTCTGGTACTCTGAACGGTTAGGCGTATCTTGGACATCTAGTTGCACCCGTCGTGTTTCTCGTGTTGGGTATACAATCAGTGAGATGTCACAATAAATGCTAAGTTGTTTTCATTTATTAGACCAGACTATTTGATTTGATTTGATATTTGGTGTTTCAACGCCATTTTTAGCACCGCTTTTGGGCTATTTCGTGGCGGCCATTTTTTATTGTTGGAGGAAGCCGTAGTGTCCAGAGAAAAGCATCAACCTTCGATAGGAAAACTGACAATCCTAGTCAAGATTGGAGTCGAGTACACCCACACGAACGGGGTTCGAACTCACAACCTCAGTGTTGACTGGCTAGTGATTACAGTAGTAACTACTTAGACCACTCGGCAACCGAGGCCCCTAACTACGAATCTATAGAATAAATGCCAACTACAATGGTTCAAAAATGTGAAATAAACTTATGGTGTGTATTAAATTTATTTAACGCTTTGGTGATGTAATGTACGTGATTTGACAAATTATTCATACCTCTTACAATTATAAATGTTTATTTTATACCATGCATAATTGTTTACCTTCGAATTCCTCCTTGAACAAAATACTTGGCGTATGCTGTATAAGAGGAATGCAAAACACATGTTTTAATTAGGTATTTAGGAACCGGTACGGATTTTTTTCCATGTTCTTTCTTACCAAGCAGTCTTTTACAGGTCCACCGATTATAAAGTCTGAAAAAACAGTTACATGCTACAATTCATCAGTTACATTGTCGTGTAATATTGATACAGTACTCCCTGTATACGGGTTTAACCCATGGATACACTATTTCAATGGGACATTTGTTCGCAGTTTAAATGGATCCGTGCAAGAAATGAAATCGATTTTAGAGGTTGACACGTGCAGTTACTATAATGCCGGAGAATACATGTGTGCTGCATGGAATAAATATGGAGACACAGCTCTAGTTGCAAATAAGACTATTGTTCTTGTTGTTAATGGTAGGTCTGCGATATTGTTTTATTTCATGATCTTTTAACAACACTAGGGCACAGCTTACTTCAATGTATAAAAACATAAGAATGTGATTTGGTGTACATTATCGGACGGATACAACCTTTTTAGAAAAACCCCTCTTAGACCAACTGCATCATCTATTTCCCCCGAAAACCAAACCTTGTCATGGGCTAAGCACATAAACAGAAACAAGAATGAGAAAATTGGAGCCGGAAATGGTTCTTAATACTGCTCTTTAATTTGATGGAAACAATTTTTCAAAATCAATGCTTAAGAGCAAAGCTCAGCGCAAAATCTTGATTACTATCTCCAGTTACGGTCAAGTTTAAAAATCAAGGCCAGTCACCATCCCTTTAATATTAGACTTGTTTTACATATATCATATACCTTAAAAAGTAAAGAATAGTATTTTGTGGAAATTTGACTGATCATTGAATTAAGACACAAACTGGTTATTTTCTTTTACATAAAGCTACTATTACTCGTGATGGAGATTTAACATTTTGTCATTTAAAATTCATTGCATAAATGCCGGTCATAATGCAAAAGTCTAACTCAAAGAGACTTTTCCCATTTACTTCCTTGGAATGTGGTAACCGTTATATTAAGAAAAACTTATATGGGGAAAATGTTTCACACATCAAGTCGCAACATTGTATGTTTGACCCTAACTTTTATGCAGTCTTGAAGGTAGAAAACCATCATGGGGAAAAAAATAAAGAGCGCCAACACTATCCGCGCAACCCTCATATTGCTATTTGCATAGCCATGATTTCATAAGTTACATAGAATCAATGTTTTTGTATCTCAAAGCAGAGACTTCCTATATACTTGATCTTAAGATATTAAGATATCCGTAAATGAAGGATGTGCAAAAAACTATAAGCCTTATCAAAAACTTTAGCTATGCTCAACAGAAAAAAATAAAATACAAAAAATGAAAATAAAAACCAAATTACAATTGCATGAAAAAAATACTGTAGTTGTTTACACAAAGTAATTATAAAAGTATGTATGTGATGCACGCTTTAACTACTTGGCTTACAAAATTATTGAAAAGCGATCAATTTTGCAACATTTGCAATGATACCAGATTATATACACCGTTTTGGTTTTTCTTTTATTTGAGCTTCCCCAGTGATAATCTCGTCGGGCGTAATTCGGGAACAACAAACAATCCTTTCTGCGACATTTTACTCCACTACAGAGGTGCTTCTTACATGGCGGCAATCAAACCAGACACTTACGAACTCAACAGACCGGTTGCAAATGCTAGATAGAAAGACGATTGAACTTATTCTTTATAATAAAAACATTGAGTGTGATGGATATATTGCTAATTTGTCAATCAGATCATCTTTAGTTGGTGAATACGTTTTACTTATCCAAAATACATTTGGTACAACAAGACTCTTCTATGAAGTGAATAAATTAAGTACACAAGGTAAGATATGTCGTATTATTCAAATAAGACATTTGGTGCAGAATAATGTTTGAAATTGAATCTTTTATGTGTAAATTATATCATAAGCAATCATACTAATGATTTTGTTATACATATATGCACTTAACGGTACTACAATCTGTCGATCCTTTATTTTGGCATTGCAGAAGGTCTTGTTTTTCTCTGACTAATTAGTGAGTCTTTACACTAATTCCATTCGAAGTTGGATAAGTAGTGATTTATATTTTAGTCTTATATATATGATTACTTTTTATAAGTTGTTATTGGCTTTGAACTAGCAGTCAGTAACTGCAAGTTCTCCCTGATCTCTGCTATGTGTTCTTTTTGTTTTTGGTGGATGAGGGATTGATGGATACCCTGCCACGTCCTGTCTGTGTTTGTGTTTGAAGCTTTTCTGCTTTGTGTCGATCTGATAAATTAAGCCTTTTCGACTGATTTTTATAGTTTGTTCTTGTGTTTTTCCACTGCTGTCCCAGGTTTGGGTTGGAAAAGGGGTGTGGGGGGGGGGGGGGGGGGGGGTGGGTTGAGCGCTAGCATACATGTTTGGACCCGCCAAATTATTTGTCTACCTGTCAGGGTCGGGGGCTTGTAGTTCAGTGGTTGTCGTTGGTTCATGTCTGTCATGTGTCTTTTTTGTTGATTATTTTTTTGTAAATTTGGCAGGGGAAAAGATACATACAAAGTCACTTTTGAAATTTGATTACTGCATTCGTAATAATACCGGATATTATACATGTGAAGCACATAATAGATATGATGGCAATATAACATTTGCTAAGAAAACTGCTTCGTTGTTTGTATATTATATGTATTGATAAACATTTTTGAAAGTTGTATACAGTTATTTTGTCATATGAAATTTTACAAATTTTGAAATGACATTATATGACTCAACTGCTATAATACTAACAACATCAAAACCATGGCTAAGAAGAATGCAAAAAATCTGAACAGGCAAAACCTATTCTTTAGAACACTTTACAGAAAACGAAAGTCTTTAGAACACGATTCCTATCAAAATGGCGGGTTTTTGGTGCTCTGAACGGGTTAGCATATCCTGGTCCTTTAGGGGCACTCGTAGTGTTTCTCATGTAATCAGTGATATGTCGCAATAAATGCTAAGTTGTTTTAATTTATTAGACGAAACTTTAGAATAAATGCCTACTACAATGGTACAATAATTCGAAATAAGCACAGGGAAAGCTTCAAATTAAATTGTAGTATGCACGTCAATGTTGACCATTCTGTCAGTTTAGTGTCTGAAAAATAATCTAATTTGATATTCAGGTAATGTTTTTGTTTATCAAAGAAACACACTGATATTATACATTGCATGCATATATATCCTGCTGGTATATTTTGTCTTTCGTATATCATTTATTGTTTTTCTCCAATAGTAGTAATGTTTTTCTAGTATAACTGTTATTTTCAACATGATACAAAACATACCTTCTACCTTTGTAGTGTATTTTATTTCTTTAACGCTTTGATAATATAAGGTGCCTGGTTTGACAAATAAATAAAACCTTTCACAAGTACAAATGTATATATCATACCATTATTAATTGTTTATCTTTCTCTCGGAACAAAATACTTGGCGTATGCTGTTTAAGAAGTATGCAAAAATATGTATAATATACTTAGTATTAAATATAGGTAATCATATGTGTAATGCAATTTATTCTATCGATATCAGTCACGCTTGCAAAGGCTATATCAAACCCCTTATCTGTATGACGTCACGTAATCGATATCAGTCACGCTTACAAAAGATTTATCAAACCCTAATATGTATAAAGTCATGAGTCATGAAAAATACATAAGGGAGATAAGTTGTGCTTCAAGATAAAATTGAGAATGGAAATGGGGAATGTGTAAATGAGACAACAACCCGACCATAGAACAGACAACAGCAGAAGGTCACCAACAGGTCTTCAATGCAGCGAGAAATTCCCGCACCCGGAGGCGTCCTTCAGCTGGCCCCTAAACAAATATATATACTAGTTCAGTGATAATGAACGCCATACTAAACTCCAAATTGTACACAAGAAACTAAAATTAAAAATAATACAAGACTGACAAAGAACATGTATATAATAAAGTGTTTACGATATGTGTTTTTCAATATCACACACTGTAACATTCTTGAACCAATATAATCCCACGTGAAGAGCTCTCGTGATTATATTCGTGTCTCGGGTTGTTACGGATGTGATATTGAAAAAAGCAATTGATATTGTCTGTGTATTCATCTACATAGTATTTCAGTAATCAGGTAATTCATAACCGGTACGGATTTATATCCATGTTCTTTCTTATCAAGAAGTTTTTTCAGGTCCACCGATTATAAAGTCTGAAGAAACAGTTACATGCAACAATTTATCAGTTGCATTGTCGTGTAATATTGATACAGGACTCCCTGTATACGGGTTTAACCCATGGATACACTATTTTAATGGAACATTTATTCGAAGTTTAAATGGATCCGTGCAAGAAATGAAGTCGATTTTAGAGCTTGAAACGTGTAGTTACCAGAATGCCGGGGAATACATGTGTGCTGCATGGAATAAATTTGGAGATACAGCTCAAGTTGCAAATAAGACTATTGTTCTTGTTGTTAATGGTAGGTCTGCGATATTGTTTTAGTCAATTATCTCTTTAACTACATTCAGGTACATCTTACTTCAATGTATAAAAATCTAGAGGTAAAATTAGGTTTGAATTATCGGGCAGATACAACCTATTTTGAAACAACCCTGTCAGATCAAATGCAATCATGTTAACTATCTCCGGTTAAGGTCAACTTTAAAAGTTAAGGTCAATCACCATGATCGTTTTACATTTGACTTTTTCAAATATATCTTATACCTTAACAAGTAGAGAAAAGCATTTGGTGGAAATTTGACTGATCATTAAATCATGGGAGTATTATATTGACAGGAACTACTACGACCGGACGTTTCATCTGTGATGCCGCGCGCAAGTTAATGACATGTTGATTAATTTGAAACAGGACACGTTATTTACACGCCAGCGTTTGGCGTCCTACAATATTGTCATTCTCGGTTGCTTTCGTGATTACGGAAATAAACGAAGAAATCGAAAGTTGTGGTAAATTCTAAGGAAACAGCAATCGGTAAACCTCGACATATTCCGTTACCCTATTTCTGCCTGTGTGTGCTGACCGTGCGAGGGCTGTATAGCCAGTCAAGGTCGGTAAAAACTTCCATCATCGTGAGAGGGCTGTATAGCCAGTCAAGGTCGTTAAAAATTTCCATCATCATGATAGATTGATGGATTTGTGCGAGACATCATTAATTCTAGAATAAAAACACATTGGCGATGAAATTTGTAGCATATTAATTGAATAAATACACCATTTTTATTGATTTATTTATTGGTAAGAAACTGCCCTTTCTAAAGATATATCACAAGTTGTGCTTAATTACTGTTTATTTAACTCCATTGGCATACATTTTATGCACATTTAAGACGATTGTCTTTTAACTGTTCTGATCAAAATAAAAAAATAAAAGATATTTCTAATAGATGTAAGAAATATAATGCTTCGGTTTTAATCCAAGGTAAGATCATTAGTTGTTGGTATTCGAATATTTCTGCTGAGCCCCAGTGTGTTTACATGTATATAGTTCTTGATCGATATATTTTCACATTTAGAACTGAACATTTCTACTATCCAGGATTATCCAGGTCCTTTACCATGTACAATAATCGGTTCGTCACAATGTATACATATATTTATTAAGAAAAATTTCGTTACCCGGCAATAACCGGAACACACCCTTATGACAGTTTTAACTTAATCCCTGAAGAAATGAAATTATGACACTAACAATTTTAAAACGTTGTAGAATAATTAATTCTGGGCCGATTTTCATTTTTTATGCATCAGTCGATTTGGTTAAATAAGTTGTTTATGCATAAAGGTCAACCGACGCCATTAAAATGAGCAAAGGTGTTTTCTGACGACAGGTATTGACGCTAACGTTTCTTGATAAAAACCACGTGATTGATAAGAAATATCTCTGGTCAATTTATGACCGCAGCATCGCAGGTAGTCACAAAAGAAATTAACGACAATGTACTAATAAGACAGTTTCCATATCTTTTCTAAAGTGCTACCTAGGTTATAAATAAGTGCTAATTATTCGTTGTAGTTTCTGTCAATATAATACTTCCATGATTGAATTAAGCCACAAACTGGTTATTTTTTTTTACATAAAGATACAATCACTCTGTAATGGAAATAATCCTCATTTAGAAATCATTGCATAAATACCGGTCATAATGCTCTTACTCAAAAGGACTTGTTTAATTGACTTCCTTGGTGTGTGTCCTTCAACTAAATCAATTGGAAACCGTTATATTAAGAGAAACTTATATAGGGAAAATGTTTGGCACATCAAGTCGTAGCTTTACATGTTTGACCACAACGTGTATGCAGTCTTTAAGGTAGATAATCAATAATTGGCAAAAAAACGAAAGAGCGCCAACACTATCCGAGCAATCTGCATTTTAATATTTTCATAGCCATGATTTCATAAGTTACCTAAATTAAATGTTTGTGTATCTCAAAGCAGAGACTTCCTTTATACTTGATCTTGGTAAATTTAAAATATCCATGAATGAACGATGTGCAAAAAATTATTAGCTTTATGAAAAACGTATGTTCAACAGAAAAAAATTAATACATACACAAACATACAAAATAAAAAAAATAAAAAAAATCACAATTGCATGAGAAAAAATACTATAGCTGTTTACATAAAGTAATCATAAAAGTATGGACGTGATGAACACTTTAACTACTTGGCTTACAAAGTTATTGAACATCGATCAATTTTGAAACAATTCCAATGTAACTAGATTATATACACCGTTTTGGTTTTCTTTTATTTGAGCTTCTCCAGTGATAATCTCGTCGGGCGTAATTCGGGAACAACAAACAATCCTTTCTGCGACATTTTACTCCACTACAGAGGTACTTCTAACATGGCAGCAATCAAACCAGACACTTACCAATTCAACAGACTGGTTGCAAACGCTAGATAGAAAGAAGATTGAACTTATTCTTTATAATAAAAACATTGAGTGTGATGGATTTATTGCTAATTTGTCAATCAGATCATCTTTAGTTGGGGAGTACGTTTTACTTATCCAAAATACATATGGTGAAACAAGTCTCTTTTTTGAAGTGAATAAATTAAGTACACAAGGTAAGATATGTCATATTGTTCAAATAAGACATTTGGTGCGGATTAATGTATGAAATGGAATCCCTTATGTGTAAATTATATTATAAGCAATCACACTAATGGTTTTATTATACACATATGCACGTTAATGGTACTACATTCTGTGGATCCTTTATTTTGCCATTGCACAATGTCCTGTTTTTTTTCTGAATATCAATGACGTCTTTACGCTAAATCCATTGGATGTTGGATATGTACTGATTTATATTTTAGTCTAAGATAACTGATTATTTCTTAGTAGATGTTATTGGCCTTGAACTCGCTGTCAGTAACTGCGAGTTCTCCTTGATTTGTGCTACATGTAGGTGTCCTTTTTTTTGTGAATGAGGGATTGATGGATAACTTGACACGTCTGGTCAGTGTTTTTGTTTTGATGTTTTCTGTTTTTTGTCGATCTGATGAGTTAAGCCCTTTTCAAATGATTTTTATAGTTTGTTCTTGTGTTGTGTTGTTTCCCCTCTACCCCCCGGTTTGGGGGGTGGGGTGGGGTGGGGGAGGGGGCGCTCGCAGACGTGTTTAGCCCCGTCACATTCTTTGTGTGCCTGTCTTGGTCGGGAGCTTGTTGTTCTCTTACTCTAGTCGTGATAATACCGGATATTATACATGTGGAGAATATAATAGATATGATGGCAATATAACCTTTGCAAATAAAACTGCTTCACTGATTGTATATGATACGGTTTGCGATAAAACATTTTTGAAAGTTGGAAACTTTTTTTTTGTCATATAAAGTTATACAAATTTTGTGACGACATTATATGTCTCAATGTCTCAACTGCTATAATTCTAATAAATACAAAACCATGGCCAAGAAGAAGAGAAACATCCGAAAAGGCAAACACTATTCGTTAGAACACTACATAGAAAACCAAAGTCTTAGGAACACGAACTCCATTAAAATTGCAGGTCTCTGGTGCTCTGAGAGGATTGACATATTTTGGTCCTCTAGGAGCACCCGTCGTGTTTCTCATGTAGGGTATGCAATCAGTGAGATGTCACAATAAATGCTAAGTTGTCATAATTTATTAGACGAAACTATAGAATAGATACCCACTACATAGGTAAAATATTTCAAAACAAATACAAGGAAAGCTTCAAAACAAGTCAGTGTTGACCATTCAGTCAGTTTAGCGTATGCAAAATAGTTTAATGTGATAATCAGGTATTGTTTTGAGTATTTAAGAAACACATTGATATTATACATTTATCGCATACACTTCCCGTTGGTGTCTCTTGCCTTTCGTTTATCATATATTGTTGTTCTCCTATAGTAGTAATATTTCTCTAGTATAACAGTTGTTTTCACTATGATACAAAACAGTCCTTTTACTAATGTAGTGTATTTAATTTCTTTAACGCTTTGATGATATAATGTACCTGGTTTTATAAATAATTAATACCTTTAACAAGTATTTATGTATTTTTCATACCATGCAAAATTGTTAACCTTCCTCTCTGAAAAAAAATACTTGGCGTATGCTGTTAAAGAAGAATACAAAAATATGTATTCATCTACTTAGTATTTTAGTAATCAGGTAATTCATAACCTGTACGGAATTGTTTCCATGTTTTTTCTTATCAAGCATTCTTTTACAGGTCCACCGATTATAAAGTCTGAAGAAACAGTTACATGCAACAATTCATCAGTTACATTGTCGTGTAATATTGATACAGGACTCCCTGTGTACGGGTTTAACCCATGGATACACTATTTTAATGGGACTATTGTTCGCAGTTTAAATGGATCAGTGCAAGAAATGAAATCAACTTTAGAGGTTGAAACGTGTAGTTACCAGAATGCCGGAGCATACATGTGTGCTGCATGGAATAAATATGGAGATACAACTCTAGTTGCAAATAAGACTATTGTTCTTGTGGTTAATGGTAGGTCTGCGATATCATTTTATTTTATGATATCGTTTATAACATTAATGTGTAACGTACTTTTATTTGAAAAAACCTTGACGTGTAACTATGTGTAAATTATCGGATAAAGACAATCTACTGTGGAGTCATTATGATTCGTTGGAGACCGATTTACGTGGATTTCGTGTGTAAAGGTGAACTAAAATATTAAATGTTCAACGAATGACAAATTTTCTATAGGTTTGTATGCAGACGTTTGGAAAACCACAAATCAAATATCCACAGACATGTAAGTTTTCCTTAATCCATGATAATAAATGAATCCAGAGTATTTTGAAACAACCCTCTCAGACCAACTGTTATCATCTATTTTCCCCGAAGGCCAAACTTTGTTATGGATTAAGCACATAAACCGAAACAAGAATGGGAAAATCGAAGAGGGAAAGGGTCCCTAATACTGCTCTATAATATACTGATGGAAACAATTTGTAATAATCAATGCTTAAGAGAAAGAGCAGCGCAAAATCGTGTTAACGATCTCCGGTTACGGTAAAGTTTAAAAAAAAGTCAAGGTCAGTCACCGTGACCTTTTAACATTAGACTTTTTTACATATATCTTATACCTTGAAAATCATTTGGTGGAAAATTGACTTAAGCCACACACTGGTTATTTTGTTTTACGTAAAGCTACTATTACTCTGTAATGAAGATAATCTTTTTTATTTAAATTCATTGCATAAATGCCGGCCATAATGCTCAACTCAAAAAGACTTTTCCAATTGACTTCCTTGTTATTTGGTCTACAACTAAATAAATTAGAAACCGTTATAATAAGAAAAACAGATACATGTATGGAGAGAATGTTTGGCACATCAAGTCGCAACTTTGTATGTTTGACCAAAACTTTTTTTTACATTCTTTAATGTAGATAATCAATCTGGGAAAAATTAATAAAGAGCGCCATATCAATATTTTCATAGCCGTGATGTCATAAGTTACATAGAATCAATGTTTGTGTATCTTAAAGCAGAGACGTACTTTGTATTTGATCTTAATAAGTTTACGATATCGATAAAGAACGTTGTGCGAAAATTATTAGCTTGATCAAAAACTTATGTTTAATAGAAAAAAAATAATAAATACACAAACATAAAAAATAAAAAAATTGAAAAAAAAAATTACAATTACATGAGAAAAAATACTGTAGTTGTTTACATAAAGTAATCATAAAAGTATGTATGTGATGAACACTTTAACTACTTAGCTTGCAAAGTTATTGAATATCGATCAATTTTGCAACAATTCTAATGTAACTAAATTATATACAGCGTTTTGGTTTTCTTTTATTTGAGCTTCTCCAGTGATAATCTCGTCGAGCGTAATTCGGGGACAACAAACCCTTTCTGCTACATTTTACTCTACTACCGAGGTGCTTCTTACTTGGCAGCAATCAAACCAGACACTTACAAATTCGACAGACCGGTTGCAAACGCTAGATAGAAAGAAAATTGAACTTATTCTTTATAATAAAAGCATTGAATGTGATGGATTTATTGCTAATTTGTCAATCAGATCATCTTTAGTTGGTGAATACGTTCTACTTATCACAAATACATTTGGTGAAACAAGACTCTTCTTTGACGTGAATGAATTAGGTACACAAGGTAAGATATGTCGTATTCTTCAAATGAAACATTTGGTGTGTATAAATGTTTAAAATCGAATCCATTGTGTGTAAATTATATTATTAGCAATCATACAAATGTTTTTTTATACACATATGCACTTCTTTAACAGTACAACAATCTGTTCATCCTTTATTTTGCCATTGCGCAAAATGCAAGGTTATGTTTCTCTATGACTATTAATGACGTATGTACACTAAATTCATTTGATGTTGGATATGTACTGATGATATTTTAATCTTAGATACATGATTATTTTTAATGATTTGTTATTGGTTTTGAACTAGCTGTCAGTAACTGCGAGTTTTCCTGGCTCTGTGCTAGGTGACATTTTTGTTGTTGGGGATGAGGGATTGATGGATACCCTACCAAATTCGGTCTGTGTTTGTGTTTGATGTTTTCTGCTTTTTGTCGATCAGATGAGTTAAGCCTTTTTCAACTGATTTTATAGTTTGTTCTTGTTCGTGTTGTTACACCGCTGTCTAAGGTTGGGTGTAGGTTGGGCGCTAGCAGACGTGTTTGTCCCCGCCACATTCTTTGTGTTGTGTGCCTGTCCCGGGTCGGGAGCTTGTCGTTTAATGGTTGTCGTTGAAACGTGTATGTTATGTCTGTTTTTCGTTGATTGTTCTGATGGAAACTTTACCGCTAGTTTTTTCGGTTGGGTTGTTTCATATTATTCATGTTAGAACCTTTTCTTGCAGACTGCGCGGTGTGGGTTTTTCTCAATGTTGAGAGCCACGAGGTTGCCTATAAATGCTTACATCTGCTTTGTTTAAACTATGGTGGATAGTTGTCTCATTGGTAATCATACCTCATTTCTTTATTTCTATATACACGTTTCCGTCGAAGGCAATTCGATGAAATACTGATCAAATTATAGAAATCCCTCATTGAAGTAGTCAAAATAGCAAAATAGCTCGGCAATGACACATTGTAATTGATTTGCACGCTATTTGTCCATATACATGATACCATGGAACACATGTCTACTTAGTCAGTGAAATGAGTATATGATAAATCAGTCATACAATGTAATATAATTACAAAAATACACATGTAAAATTACGCATTGAATTTTGCATTATAAACTGAATTTATTATTTCAAACCTACTCTACTATGGATATTAGTTCTATGATAACACAAAATGTAATTCATATGTTTGTCATTCTGCACCTGCATCAGCAGTTTTGTTATAAATTAAAAGTTTTTGATCTAATTCAGATATAAGGTTTTTGTTGTATTGTTCTATTTTACTGACGATTCGATATATTATAATTTTTCAAATTTCGATTTATTTTTTTTATTTATTTTTGTTGATTTCATTCTCATTATTATGATTCTTTGTTTAGCTTTGACAACTTCTTACGATTTACGTATAGTGGTGTTTTCTATTATTGCCATTGGGATATTCATTTTGAGTACAGCTGGAACAGTAATCGTGTCGAAAGGGATACGACGTAAAAGTATGTTTCTTTTAATATTTTATATATTTTCTTAGATGGACTACCTCAGTATACTGCAATTCAAATCAGTAGCCAGTGCTCGGTACAGATATAATTTATAACTTAGTCTTCTAAAATTTCATTTTGATCAAGAAAATACTCAAAAACGAAGGATCCAACTCCTTCCCACAATGTTGACTATTCATGTTTGGTTTCCTCATTTTGATTAGCTTTAAACATTTCTACATATTTATTTAGTGTTCTGATGAAGGTTAATCCAGAAAAGCGATGAAATATTACAAAATTTATAAAATATTATTTATATTATTAGTAATAAGTTGATACCACTGTTAGTGGGCTGCTAGTATATTAAAGTATTTTTTGCTAAACAATAAACGTATGATATTTTCCTTGCGTACGTCAAGTGTTATTTAAATATCATTTGGTACACTCAAAATTTTAAATTTTTGTAATCCAACAATAAAGTGTAACTTTTGAGAGCATAATCTATGTTTCAAATAATATACAGTGTTTGGTATATAACTGTTATGTAGATAAAGTCATCTGCTAACAATATAAGTCCACCGTCAGTCTATCTTGACGGAGATTAAACGTTAGCCAAACACATGTGTACTATGGTATCTTTCATTGTCGTATGTATTTCTTGGTGATACAGTCATCAGTCAATTAATACAATAAAGAATTGAATTGAAGATTGACTATTCTAAATAGTAATGCGATGCTTTATCATTGATATGGTTTTTTGTTAATCTTTGTGGGAACACATGTAGGCTACATCATGAAATATCATGCATTTGTTTTTCTTTCAATGGTCCTCAGCATACATTTAACTATGTGTATGTCATATTGCAGATGTAATACATATAATTGGTCCGCATGAAAGATGTCCCACAATTCCAATGTGAGTAGTAATAATAATTTTTAATTCTATTATAAAGATTAAATTTGTCTATTTTGTTTCATGTAATTGTAATTGTCATTATAATATCTCCTGCAAATCACGCATCACTTTGACAAAATATTTCATAAAGAGTAATTTAGTAAGATGCTAAACTTCACTTACCCCACAGGTCACTGTCCTAAGTCAAGAGCGTGTGTTGTGCATAAATTAAGGCGTCAGTAGTTTATGGATGTTCAAATAGTCGATTATGAAAAACAGACGAAAAATAAATATTGGTCAGCAAGAACAAAAACTTAGGGACATGCATGGATTTAATATATATATAAATTGTAAGTTCAGTCTAGGTGGCCGTGTGGTCTTGAGCGATGAACACAGTGCAGGGGGTGTTGTCTCGATATCCCAATAGCATGAGTTCGAATCCCGGCGAGGGAAGAACAATAATGTGCTTCCGCAAATTTGCAGATTTAACATTGTGGTGCTGATATTAAGAGTAGTTATATATATATCGAACATTCGTTTGATTGCGCTCATTATAACGAATAGACGACCAGAGGTAAACTTTTAGTAAAGGTACAAAAATACCATGCTTGCCAAATACTGGAAAAATTGAAATGACCAATTAATATTTTTAGAAAACCAAACTGCAATAACGATGTCGAGCAAAATCCGTTTCTTTACTATACTTTTAAGATACAAACGTGAAACCGAAGAGAGTATTTTTTTTAATAAACATGATAAAACACTTTTTTGATTTACTTCAAACAGTTAAGATTATATTAACTCAAAACGACCATAAATGTTCTGCTTTTACAGTTTCTAATTTGTTTATTCTTTTTTATTGACGATATCTGACAGCAGTGATTATCAATTTGTTTTGTGTTGTCTTGGTCGAATTCTTTATTTTTGTTTTGTTTTATGAACAACAAATGTAATACATTGCAGATATCATACAGCTCCAGCATTTGATACTACGCCGAATGTATATGCCATCCCAGAAACCGGATACCAACAGGTTACCAATGAACAATATGAACTGGATAATTTTCAAGATACTGAAAATAAGGGCGTGGAAAATTACACATCGAGATACATGAGCTCTCTTTATGATGAAATCGATGTTTGAAAAAAGTGACCTATAGCTGCTTACTTTTAATTTTATTGGGAACGTGAAGATAGTTGACTCATTGGCAATCGTTTTTCATGTCCTTACTTTTATAGTTTGAAATGATTGATTTTGTTCGAAAGCAAAATATATTAACATAGAAAGGAATGCGGACTCGGTTTGACATCATACAATGTTATAGATTTAACGTATAAGACATTGTGTTATTGTGATATGGTCATATTTTGTATTCTTGTCTTTCATTTTTGCTTATGTGTTTTGTCTTTATGTCATTTTGTCTTTATGTCATTTTGTTTTTCTTTGTTGACATATTTGTTTGTTTTTATTGTGATTTAGATTATAACACAATTATGGAGACCCCTATTTTTGACATTTTTACCTATTATGTCTGTTTGTTTTGCTCACAAATTATTATACAGCTGTCATACAAGTGAGAGGTTTATCTTGTTAGAAAACCAGGTTTAAAGCACCATTATCTACAAAATGAAATATTTTTCCATGTCAGGGATATGACAGTTGTTTTCCATTCGTTTGATGTGTTTGAGCTTTTGATTTGTCCATTTCCGTTTTGAAATTTTGCATGGAGCTCGGTATTTTTGTTATTTTACTTTTTATATTTATTTTTTTTATATTTATATCTTTGTTTTTAGAAGTATATTCAATTTCTAAAGTTGAAAACTGCCTCATAATGACTGTATTGGCATTGATCGCGTTTTGGTAGTTTCTCGATGTCCCTTTATTGATTAAAGTATAACGAAAAACTATATATAAACAGGGTCTCATTTCAAAATACATATCAACTTGAGACTAATTTTTTTCCACGTCGCTTTGCAAATCTAATGTATTTTCATTCTGAGAAAGAGAGCAAAAAGGATACACAAACTTGTATTTTGATAGTTATGTTGTATCGTTTAATGTGGATTACAAAGACCTTTTTAAAATTAAAACTTATGATTAAAACTGGCATTCGTTGAAATATGTCAGTATGTATAAATGATAATTTTCTTTAATGAGATTGCATTTGTCGGTGGTAGACCTTCTTGGTTTCCTATGAGCTTGAATTTCAGAAAACGTTTTTCAAATATAAGCATCGAAAGTCCCTATAAACTCATTCCATCACCAAATTGACCAAAACATACTTTTCTAACTTTCCACCAACGCGTCCGACTTTACACAAGCGTGTCTAATTTGTACAAACTCGACCAATTAACCAACTTGCACTAACATTTCATTTAGATTAAAATTATCATCACAGGTTCACATATCGGACTCGAACTGACTTATAATATGTATTTGTTTATTCCACATTGGCCACAGGTAAAGGGGGAGGTGTTAAAATCTCACAAAATATATATAACCCTGCTGCATGGGTGCGCCTGTCCCAAGTCAAAAACATCAAGCCTTTGTTAGTATTATGTTTTTTTTTATTCATTTTGGTTCATTTGTATGGTTCAGAGTTCATGGTGTGGCGTCCATTTCGCTGATACAGTACACATTTTTATTAAGGGGCCAGCTGAAGCCCGCCTCCGGGTGCGAGATTTTATCGCTGCTTCTAAAACCCATTTGTGGCCGTTGGCTGTTTTCAGCTCTTTGGTCGGGTAGATGTCTCTTTGACATATTTCCCGTTGTGATGTTTTCTGTTCCAAGATAATGGGAAAGACACTCATATCCCCCTGAAATCAGAAAACGTGAATCTTTGTCATTGTTCGATAATCAAATTCGCAACACAATGATGATATCCCAATAAATCATTATATAGTTTATATTTTTGGGAACGTACTTCATGCTCGCTTAAGAATGGACTTGTTTAGTTTTAACCTATTCCTTTCATGATTTAGAAGTCTTCCTAACCTGTCCTTGTGATGATTGAGAAACAAATTATCACTTTCTGCTATCTTTTCAAATAAACACTGGTTTGGGACATACACTTTTAGCTTCTGTTTGAGTCCATCCTGACCAATCTTTTGCGTGTCAGACGCGCAGCTTTACCTTATATTTTACCCTTGCTATTACCGTTTGATCATCCATATAGAGCCCAAACATATTACACTGTAAAAATTGCAAATGATGTTATGTTCATTCTATCTTTTCAATTATATGTTTTACCTTTTTTATTTTTATATATCTATTGCGTAGCATGCCAAGATTTATGTTGTATCTAATATGTGCATTATGTGTATAATAGGAGACAGATTGATAAAAACAACTTGCTAGTTCTTGAATGCTAGTTATTTATTTCAAGTGTATTGTATTGATATGTGATGACTTCTGATTTTAGAAATATAAAAAAAAAACTTGTCAATGCAAACTCCTTTCTTTTTATCTTTATAATCAGTGGTGAACACGGGCAACGTTGAATTACGTTCAGCAGTCCTGAAACGACTTACAAATGAGAACTGGAAAACAAATCTCTGGACTAATAAAGATCATTTTTAAACAGTATTAGACAAAGTGATGTTCATAATTTGTTCTTGTACAAACCAGGGAAAACCTGTATAAATATAATTATGTTTCCATAACTTTCCAATATATGTTTCATTTTGTATGGGAAACAGACTGTTAACTTTGTTGATGTTAAACATCTGGACAATTTGACAGGACATACAATTTAGGTTCTGAAATTTTAAGTTGAAGGATAGATTCCATTTACTTCAAAAAAGCAAAATAAAACTAGAATTGCTATTGCAAGCAATAGCAGATGTCACCCTTCCCCCATTGCCACTAAGCGGCAGCAATTTCCAAAATTTTAAATCCACATATATGAATGGATAATTCATCTCTCTGTAAATTTTCAAAACATTTATGCCGTTACCATGACAACAACAATTTTGGAAATCCCCAAGTCAAAGTTTGCATCTATACATGCCAATTAACAAGTTAAATAAGTTTCATTAAGTTTAGAGCATTTTGAAATTTTTGGATATTTTGCTTTTTCCATGGTAACGGCAGCCATTTTAAAACTTCCAAAGCTAAATGGCACATCTACATATGCCAGTTATCATTTTTTATTAAATTTCATTAAGTTTGGAGCATTTGAAAGTTTTTGGATTTTTGCCGTTTCCATGGTAACGGTGACTATTTTCAAAATTCTGAAAACACCTACCACTTTGGCATATGACAGGGAACATACCATTAAAGTTTCGTGTGATTTGACCTTACATTTTACCATTAATTGGCTCCGAGAAAACAGCCGTACAAAATTAAGTTGAAGAAAAATATTAAAAGTAGGGAAAAAGAAACAGAGGAATATGTCACCTGATATTGTCAATACAATAAGCAAAGGTAAAGAATTAAATAATAATAAAAAGAACTTGTTCTTACTGATTTCCACGTAGTTCAGCGTCTGGATTACTTGGATTATCGATATCAATACGCTCAAAATGACGTCAACCCAACAGCATAACCAATGTTATTAAAAGACATACAATGACACATAATATGATTTTCATGTTATGTATTCATCAGTTATTGTTTACCACATATATCGAGTATACATTTAGGGCAATTCAACATGTTAACATGTGAACGCAGGTCTTCTGGGACCTTAATCACTTGCTACTCAGACATTATTTCACGTAGTAAATATTTTATGTTCTAAAATCATATTTCTATGTAAACTATTCTTTTTTTCTATTTCCCTGAAAATTTCTATTGATTTGTAACTTCGATTGCATAAGCAATATTGTTTGTGTTACAGTAGTAACTTAATATATATCTTCATTTAGATTTTAATTGAAATAACACTATTTATTAGTCAAAATAGCTACGCTGAAACAAGCATACACAAAAGACCCCTGTCTTGTCTATAAATATCAATTGTATATATAAAAAATAAGAAGATGTGGTATGATTGCCGATGAGACAACTCTCCACAAAAACCAAATGACGCAGCAATTAACAGCTACTGGTCACCATACGGCCTTCAACAATGAGCAAGCCCATATCGCATAGTTAGCTACAAAAGGCCCCGAAATGATAAATGTAATACAATTTAAACGAGAAAACTAACGGCCTAATTTATGTACAAAATAATGAACGAAAAATAAATATACAGGCTCCTGACTTGGGCCAGGCACATACAGAATGTGGCGGGGTTAAACTCGTTTGAAGGCGCCAACCCTCCACTAACCTGTAACAGTGATGTAACAGTACAACATAAGAACAAACTATAAAAATCAGTTTAAAAAGGCTCAGATGGATACAAATAAAAAACATATAACAAAAACATGGACGTGGTCAGGTACTTGTACATCCCAAAAACAAAAAGAAAGTACAGATCTGAGAGTACTCGCCCACTGTAATCAATTCTTATATAATTTGATTTGAAGTATGCAGTGCACGATCTCGCAGAGGTTTCCATTTAACATGTTTAACTTTATGGGAAAAAGTTGCGGAAAAAAAAAGATAACGGCATCATTCGGTATTATCAATGTTTCAGAAAAGCCAAACACAACAGTTGACTCCATGGTTCTTCTGGTGCTATTCTGATGACAGGCACACTAACTTGTAAAAAAAAGTATTGCTAACAACTAATCTAATTGCAATTTAATATCAGATAGATAGGTAATGAGAAAACAAAAATGGAATGAACGATGAGAATGCTTAGCTATAACATGCAAAAGCTAAGTTTGTTTTTTAAACACCTGTAACTAATTATCACTAAAATTAAAATTGAAATCAATATTATATAATATGCTCTTCAACTGTTTAATAAGCTTTTGATTTTCAAATACTTTTGACCTCAAGCATCACTAAAGAGACATGTATTGTCGAAATGCGCATCTGATGCAGAAAAATTGGTACCGTTAATTGTATATGTATAACAAACGACACAAAAGGAGTTTACAAAGTTTCACAGTAACTAATAATAACTATTACTAAAATGAGTTCATATTTACGGGAAATTAGAAAACTACACTAAATAGTAAAGACAGCAAATATTGAAATATTTGCTTTTCGTCAACTTTTTTTAACATCTCGATTTTGTCTGTAAATGAATGATTGAACTCTTTTTGATGCATTACTTTCTTCTGTTATTACATTACTCACGATGTAATCATTTTGTTTTGCTTTGATCATTCAAAATGCAATAGTTATTATTTTTTTGTTGTATTGTATGTCTATTTAAAAATGAAGTATCAACTATGAAATATTTCGCTTGATCTAATTGTATGGTTTAAAGACACAAATGTTTCTAATATGATGATGTTTACGTATTGAATTATTTTACTAATAAAATATAATACAATTATTTCTAAGTCTTCAACCATACATGAAAATGATAAAGCTATTATAGACCACAAATAAACGATGAAATATGTAATACATTTTGATGGATTCTTTCGCAACCAATCAACTTATACAATATAACTAAGGAAACAATCACTGTTAATAAAATGCTCGCAAAATTAATAACAAACGAATCTTTTCTTCAAAATTAAAACTTAGAATATCCGCTTTCAAGCATTTGAACAAGTTAAATTACCGATTGTGACAGTTGACTGGGTGTGTTATATTTTAAAACTGTTACAACAATCCGAATGCAAAGAATCTAAGTAATTTTCAAAACCAACGAGAAACTCAATTTTGCAGAGTTGTTGAAAAACACAATAAGAAATATTTCAAAAACTATAAAGATCTATATGTCAACTTATAGTGTAATCAAAAGGCAAGTGACCGTACAAATTTTATTTTCCAAATTCCCCGAGATCATGAGTTGTATATGAACAATTACACAGTGAAAATCTAAGATCTACCATCAATATTAAGATCTCAAATTAATGTCCCTCTAGTATCTTTTTAACTGAGAGATTCTTACCAATTATCGTACTTAATATGCATGAACTATTTGACCACTTGATGTTAACCAATTAAAGAATTTATAATAATAATACCCCTTACAAATGAATAATACGAATGGATTGTCTAACTTTCCTGGTGCATTTAGCATTTAGTGTTAATAGAAATCGAATTGATGCAAGTTATCCAATTTTGATACATTAGTAGACTGAATACTTTAAATATAAAACCTCTGCTATAAACCACCAAGCCATTTTCTACTGCGCATGTTTACAAAGTATTATTCCACACAAAAATGTGTGTCCCTATTCGGAAAATTAATCCTAATTCGACCCAATCAGTATTTCCTCAATCTCGTAAATGCAGAGACCCAGCAAGTATCACTTTCCAGTCTTCGGTGTGATTTAAATTGTTTTCAATATGACTAAAATATTGTATCGGGTATGACAGCGACCCAACGACATAAGAAAAAGCAGAGATGTATAGAGGTCAACAAACAGTCTTCTTTAATAGATTATAGTGTATAAAGTATTTTTAGCTCCAAGTAAAAGCCATATTCCTTTTGTAGATTGGTGTCTTTTTGTGTAGATACATTCATTCCATTACAAAGAGAGACAGAGGTCATCAGTGGGATTATCATATAAAAATACGTCAAATACAAAACATGACTTGATGTATAAAATACAAAACATGAGACAATACGTCAAATACAAAACATGATACAATACGTCAAATACAAAACATGACACAATACGTCAAATACAAAACATGACTTATTACGTCAAATACAAAACATGACTTATTACGTCAAATACAAAACATGATACAAAAGAAAAGAAAAACGAGGAAAAAAAAAAACAAATAACCGTCTTAAAAACACTACTCGAAAATCAAAGCACGAAGCTCCATGAAACACAGCAAAATTACATGTCAACAAAAGCTGATTCTTTACTCATGTTTGCTTTTATCGCAGTGAATGCAAATGTTTATATTTTGTTCATATGTTTGCATATTTCATGTTTCATGTCTACGAAAATAGTTTTATTTTAGTTATACTCGAAAATTGTATAGCTATACCAGACAGAAAGAAGCTATGAAATATTTACTGTATTTAATGGAGTGTTCGTTACAAGTTCTATAGCTGTCGATATTTTACTTTTGAAAATAATCCAGATTTTGATTGCATTTAAAAGTCAAGATATAAACATGAATCATTTAGATATTGTTTTCATTTTAATTAGAAAAATCAATCACAGATATTGTTCCAAAATTCAATTAGTTTATCAACTTTCATGTGCAATAACGAGTGAAATTACATATGCATCGATGTCATTTCTTTCGGGATGAAAGTAAGGACACTCCAAATTAGCCTTGTAATGGTTTTTATTTTTCAAAGACTATCGCTTTTCATATACCACCTTCATAGAACACTTTTTGTTGAAAGTTGTAAAATATATCTTTCAGTTAACATGCACATTTTTGTTTCTATAGACACTGTATCAACTATAT